CCAAGTCCTTAATGGGGCCGTTTTGCAAAAATTGAAAGGTTGCATATTGTTAAAAACATTATTCTGAACATCTTTTGTTCAATATTGCTTTTCAAAACATTCCCCGGTTTTGAGATATAAAGCATCAAAGGTTTATCATTCTGGCCCCTTTTGGCCCCTTATTACGTAACATATGATCATAATTTTAAACCATATAGTTGCAAATCGATAAGATAAACATTTTTGCTTCAGTAGTTTATAACAAAATATTGATCGTTCAAAAGTTATACATGAAAGACTTTTGGCCCCTCTGAGCCCCTAATTTAAGGGATCAGCCCTTTTTTTCTTGATATCAATTGAAAGGTGTTGTGATTTTGAAGATTTTCTGTTCAGAAACTATTCAAAAATCTATTTTCGTTTTCGAGATATGCTGAATTGAAATATTTAGGGGCCAGGCCTTCAAGTCCTTATTGGGGCCGTTTTGCAAAAATTGAAAGGTTGCATATTGTTAAAAACATTATTCTGAACTTCTTTTGTTCAATATTGCTTTTCAAAAAATTCCCCCGTTTTGAGATATAAAGTGTCAAAGATTTAGCATTCAGGCCCCTTTTGGCCCCTTATTACGTAACATATGATCAAAATTTTAAACCATATAGTTGCAAATCGATAAGATAAACATTTTTGCTTCAGTAATTTATAACAAAATATTGATCGTTCAAGAGTTATACATAACAGACTTTTGGTCCCTCTGACCCCCTAATTTGAGGGATCAGCCCTTTTTTCTTGATATCAAATGAAAGATCTTATCATTTTACACATCTTTTGTAATACATGTTTTAACAAAATATTTACAGGTAAAAAGATATAAAAGAAAACATGTCTAATTTTGCGAGATGTTTGTGAGCCTATTTTTCGAGCCCAGGCGAGCTTCAACGCCATTTGAGCTGGAAAGATATAGATGCCCAATTGCACATCTACAATCTTTCCTCTATCTTCACTGAAAATCTTAACTCAATAGCTTTAGTCGTTTAGGAGGAGTTTCCAGGACAAGCCGACCCTCTGAAAATCAGAAAATCGTCAATATCTCACGACCGGAAGTGACGTCATCAAAAAACCAAAAAACCTATCAAGATCAATTGAATATCTTTTACATCTGAAAGTTTGGTGTAAATCGGCCCAGCCGTTTCTGAGAAATCGCGTGCACAAAATCGGTTGGAAGAAAAATAATAATAACTAGAAACTCATTACTAGTAATGAGAAGGTCTTCCGTTATACTACTTCCTGTTTGCATGAACATGTCTTTTCCAACGTCGGTATTAGCCTAAAACTTATGTAGAAACAAAATAACTTAAAAAATACTTTTTTGCTTCGTTTCCTGTCACGACCAGAAGTAATGACGACACACGATTTTTACACGAAGGAAATGAACTGATGACTGACTATAAGTTTTGAAAGTTTTAGACTTCAGTCTTTTACTGTTGCCGAACAATTGTGAGAACAAATTCTAATTTTGAGGATAGGAAAACGCACGACCGGAAGTGAACTGAAAAAAATCTTTGAATTTTCTCTTGACTTTTGCAGTATCTACAACATATGTAAAAAACATTATACTTATATATAAGTGATATTTATCAGAAAGTTAAACCACGAAATAACTTAGTTTATCTCTTAAGACCGGAAGTTTAAAGTTTTTGTTTCCGATAAAATCTAACATATTTCAAAACAGCGAAAGAGAAGCAATAAAGTGATGCAAGTTTTAATTTTAAAAAGAAAAGTTGAAATTTTTGATTTCTTCGATCACTTCTTGTGATGAGCGGAAGTGACGGCTGACGCTTTTAACCCTATGCGTTTTGCCTTCTCACCAAGTTTTATTACTCCTATAAGTTTGGTGTCTTACTTTCATGCCGTTTCCGAGATCTCGCTGAAATAACTTTTCATTTTGAGGACAAGAAAACACGCGACCGGAAGTGAATTTTACTAAAATATTTCACGTCACACTAGACATCTGCAGTCTCAATAACATACATAAAAATCGTTTAAAGAACTCTATCTATAAGCGATATGTTGGAAAAAATTTAAAACCCCTATTATGTAGTTTTTCTCTTATAACCGGAAGTTGTCGTTTTTTGTTTTCGGTGGGACCAACACATATCTTAACTGTGAAAAAGATACAATTATATGATGCAAGTCTTATTCCAAAGGAGAAAAGTTGAAAATTTTGATTTCTTTGATCACTTCCTGTGACGACCGGAAATGACGACTGACGCTCTTAACCCAAATGGTTTTGTCTACTCCTCAAGGTATAATACTCCTAAAAGTTTGGTGTCTAAATCTCTTACCGTTTCTGAGATCTCACTCGGACAAGTTCTCGTTTTGCGGACATTTAAACGCGCGACCGGAAGTGAATTTTACAAAGATATTTGACGTTACTCTAGACATTTGCAGTCTTGATAACATATTCAAAAATCAGTTCAAATACATTACCTATAAAAAATATTTATGGGAAAGTAAAATACTCAAATTATGCAGTTTTTCGCTTATAGCCGGAAGTTGACGTTTTTGTTTCCGGTGGGACCAACATATTTCGAATCTACAAATAAGATGCAACAATGTGATGAAAGAAAAAAATCAAAAAAGAAAAGTTGAAAATTTCGATTTCTTTGATCACTTCCTGTGACGACCGGAAGTGACGGCTGACGCTCTTAACCCAAATGGATTTGCCTACTGCACAAGATCTATTAATTATATAAGTTTGGTGTCTTAATCTCTTACCGTTTCTGAGATCTCACTCGGACAAAATATTTTTGAAAAAAACGGAAATCGGACATATCTGACGACCGGAAGTGAATTTTGAAAAAATGAAAAAATCGTCTGGGCGTATTTTCATTCTCTATCATCCCTGAAAATTTCAAGAAAATCCGTCCAGCCATCTCTGAGATATCGCCAAGAAAAGAAAAGGGGAAAAAAAATAATAATAATAATAAAAAGAAGAAACAGTAGAATCACTATAAGGTCTTCCGTCTGAAACGGAAGACCTTAACTAGATGCGATCTCGTTGCGAGCAACGAGTGGGTCTTCCGTCCGATTTTTGATAAGATGAGATCAGAATTTGACTGAGATTTTTTTTCAAATATAATGATAAAAATAAATTGTTAAGACGAAAATTTTGCTTCAGTAGTGTGTATAAAAATATTGATCATTGGAGAGTTATAGATTAAAGACTTTCGGCCCGTCCTGGCCCCTATTTTGTGGGGCCAGTCCTTTTTTCTTGGTATCTTCTTATAGCTCTCATGATTTTGAACATTTTTGTTCAACAACTATTCTGAAATTCTTTTTCGCTTCCGACATATATGCAAAAGAAATATTTAGGGGCTGGCCCTTCAAGTCCTTAATGGGGGCGTTTAGCAAAAATGAAAAGGTTACATATTGTTTAAAACCTTATTTTGAACATCTTTTATTCAACACTGCTTATCAAAATATTTCCCAATTTCGGGATATAGAGTGCCAAAGATTTGTTATTCTGGCCCCTTGTGGCCCCTAATTATGTAACATATGATGTGAATATTATAATATATAGTTGTAAATTGTTGAGATAAACATGTTTGCTTCAGTAATGAATTACAAAATATTGAGCATTAAAGAGTTATTCATCAAAGATTATCGGCCCCTCTCAGCCCCTATTTTGAGGGGCCAGTCCCTTTTTCTTCATATCACTTTGAAGCTCGTATGATTTTGAACATTTTTTGTTCAACAACTATTCAGAAATTCTTTTTCGTTTCCCAGATATTTGCAAAAGAAGCATTTAAGGGCCGGCCCTTTAACTCCTTATTGGGGATGTTAAGCAAAAAATGAAAGGTTGCATATTGTTCAGAACATTATTTGAACATCTTTTGTTCAGTATTGCATATCAAAATATTTCACACTTTTGAGATATATAGCGTTAAAGATTTTACATTTTGGCCCCTTATGACCCCTAATTATATAATATATAAAGTGATTATCATAATATGTAGTTGTAAATCGTTAATATTAACATTTTTGCTTCAGTAATGCATTATAAAATATTGATCTTTAACGAGTTATTGATAAAAGACTTTCGGTCCCTCTCGGCCCTTATTTTGAGGGGCCAGCCCCTTTTTCTTCATACCACTTTAAAGCTCTTATGATTTTAAACACTTTCTGTTCAAACACTATTCAGAAATTCTTTTTCGTTTCCGAGATATTAGCAAAAGAAGTATTTAGGGGCCGGCTCTTTAACTCCTTAATGGGGACGTTTAGAGAAAAATGAAACGTTGCATTTTGTTTAGAACATTATTTTGAACATCTTTTGTTCAATATTGCTTATCAAAATATTTCCCACTTTTGAAATATAAAGCGTCAAAGATTTTGCATTCTGGCCCCTAATGGCCCCTAATTATGTAACATATGATGTGAATATTATAATATATAGTTGTAAATTGTTGAGATAAACATTTTTGCTTCAGTAATGCATTACAAAATTTTGATCGTTAAAGAGCTATTGACTAAAGACTTTCGGCCCCACTCGGCCCCTAATGTGATGAGTCAGTCCTTTTTCTTTGATATCATATAAAAGATCTTGTAATTCTACACAATTTCTATTCAATATGTTTTTAGAAAATCTCCATAGTTTTAGAGATATGATAAAAAATGTCTCGAACATTCACTCCTGATTCATGTCCTAAATTTCGACCCCTACCGAGCTTCCACACTAGGTACTTCCAGAAAATTTGAAAACCCAGGTGCAAAACTTCAACATGTCGTCTATAATCGCTGAAAATTTCACCGCTCTAGCTTTTGCCGTTTTTTAGTTTTTGTGTCGACAAAATAGTTATCTGAAAATCGATTAAAGGGCGATAACTTCCGACCGGAAGTGAATTTTAAGGATTTGAACAAAAAAGGATCATCTTCAGATCATGTCTGAATTGAATCAAGTTATTGAAAAAACACAAATTTCACTTAGGAAATCTCTATCAAAATGTATGAGTGGGAAACCCGTTACGATGAATATGCTGCAGGATCCGACTACTCTCTCTAGATTGCTGAGAAATGATGATGCTATAAGATTTATGCAACCAATAAGAGGAACTCCTGCCTATTGGTCAAGTGCTCAGAAAGATCTTTTTGCTATGCTGCGACAATTAGGAATCCCAACTTGGTTTTGTTCGTTTTCCGCAGCAGAGTACAGATGGAATGATGCTGTTAAAGCTATATTACAGCAGCAGAATGATAACAGAAATCCCGATCAAATGGAAAAAAATGAAGTTCTAAGATGCAATCCAGTCACAGTGGCTAGAATGTTTGAACATAGATTTCAAATATTTCATAAGGAAGTCATTCTTTCCCCAGCAAAGCCAATAGGAAAAGTTGTAGACTTTTTTCAAAGAGTCGAGTTTCAGCAGAGGGGATCTCCCCACATGCATTGTTTATACTGGGTGGAAAATGCACCTAATATTGATTCTGATGGGGAAGAGGTTGTATATGACTTCATTGACAGATATGTAACATGTGCTGTACCATCAGAAAGTGATGATGCAGAATTGAGAAAAAGTGTCTTAGAAGTACAACAACACAGCAAGAAACATTCAAAATCTTGTAAAAAGAAAGGTACAGAGTGTAGATTTAATTTCCCCAGGCCTCCATCTCAAAAGACTTTCATTACAAGAGCTCCAGAAGAAGAACATTCACAGGAGTGTGAAAAAGAGACAGAAATAAACAAAGCATATGCAAAGGAAATATTACTTGGTGTGTGGAATAGAGTACAGAATGAAGGTGAAGGAATCAAAACAACAGAAGAATTATTTGATGATTTGTCACTTACTCAGGAACTGTACGAAGATGCCTATAACATGTTATCGACTAAAAGGTCAGTTGTACTCGAACGCTGCCCGAATGAGGCGTGGACAAACCAATATAACCGTTGTCTGTTGAAGTCCTGGGATGCTAATATGGACATACAATTTGTACTGGATCCTTTCAGTTGTATTGTTTATATTATTTCCTATATATCAAAGTCGGAAAGGGAAATGGGTATGTTACTCAAACAAACAAAGTTGGAGGCTGAGGAGGGAAATTATGATGCAAGGCAGACCATGAAGAAAATTGGTTCAGCTTACTTGCATCACAGAGAAGTAAGTGCACAAGAAGCAGTGTACAGAGTGTGTAACTTAAAGATGAAAGAATGCTCTAGAAAAGTTGTTTTTGTGCCTGTAGGTGACAACCCGGTACGCTTAAGTAAACCACTATCTGTACTTAAGAAGAAAGCATCAAAGGATGCAGAGATAACTGATGTGGAAGAAGATGACGAGGATGAAGTTTGGATGACAAATATTATTGAGCGTTATTTGAACCGACCGGATAAATCAATTTTCCATGAAATGTGTCTTGCAGAATTTTGTTCTGAGTTCAGAGTGCTTGCTAAATCTCAAGTCCCTACAAAGGAAAATCAAAGTGTATTTGAGTTACAGAATGGGAAAGGTTATGTGCAGCGAAGAACAAGAACACAACCTGCTGTTGTGAGGTATCCCAGGTTCAATGTTGAGAAAATGTCAGAAAAATATCATCAATCTCTCTTGCAACTTTTTCTTCCATATTGGACAGAGGCACAGTTGAAACCACCAGGATTTGATTTATTTGAAGATTTTTATGAGACTGGTTATGTGAAAATTTCTGGCAGAAAGGTTAAGGAATCTGTGAAGTCAATTGTGGATTTCAATCGTTCACGTTATGCAAAAAATGAAGATGTAATTGACAATGCTCAGGAGACATATGAGATGAATGGTGAACCAGAGGATGCGTGGTCAAGAATATGCCCAGAAACAGAGGTTCTCAGAAGGGAATGTTTAGCACAGAGAAAGGAAAGTACATTGCCAGATGAGGAAAATACAGATATTATACCGGATATCGAAAGGGAGACACATAACGCTGATGTCATGTATCATGTTCATCAAAATGCAGTTTCAAGAGAGGAAATGCAATCTGTTCTTCAAAATTTGAATGAAACACAGAGTGAAATATTTTACTTGGTGCGCGAGTGGTGTTTAGGAAAGATTGCTGGAGAAAAATCTGAACCCTTACATTTATTTGTTACTGGAGGTGCAGGAACTGGTAAAAGTCATCTCATAAAAGCCATTCATTACGAAGCATCACGTTTGCTTTCACGAATAATGTCTGAACCAGATAGTGTATCAGTGCTTCTCGCAGCGTTCACAGGAACAGCAGCTTTTAACATCGGCGGCAATACACTTCACCACCTATTTTCATTAACAAAGTACCTTCCTCTCCCGTATGAACCACTTGGAGAACAAAGTCTCAGTGAATTGAGAGTGAAGATAGGGGATCTCCAGATTCTTATCATTGATGAAATATCAATGGTATACAAAAGGCTTCTGTACTATATACATGAAAGGCTGGTGCAGATAAAGAAATGCAAAGAACCATTTGGAGGGGTTTGTGTTATTGCTGTTGGAGACTTTTATCAGCTTCCGCCTGTTAAGCAGCGAAAAGATGAAAGACTTTACAAAGAAAATATGAGTTATCCTCTGGACTACTGGCTTGATTTATTTAAGGTCATTGAATTAAAAGGGATAATGAGACAAAAAGAAGATTTGTCTTTTGCTGATGTTCTTAATTCCTTTCGAGTAAGAGAGGGAGATGAACCATTAACACTGCAGCAAAGAACTATGTTAGAGGACTGTGTCAGGGAAGGACCAGAAGATGTTTTACATGTGTTTTCTACCAACGAAGAGGTGAACACATTCAATTTGTCAATGTTAAAGAAATCTTGTGAAGATTTACTGGAAATTGAGGCCCAAGATTACAAAAAGGACAAAACATCTGGGAAACTGATACTAAGAAATAAACCTTTGACAAAATCGAAAAGCGATGGCCTTCCAAGTTCGTTATTATTGTCTGTCCATGCAAGGGTAATGCTCACAAGAAATTGCAATGTGGAGGATGGACTTGTTAATGGAGTAATGGGGCATATCTGTCAGTTTTCTTTTGTTGAAAACAGTGATAGAATTGTTAGAGCTGTAGGTGTAGTTTTTGATAATAAGGAAGTTGGGAAGAAGTCTGGACAAAACACAAGGGATGGGAACATAGTGTTCATAGAAAGAGTACAAGAAGAGCTGAAAGACAAGGTAACTACAGTGGTAAGGCACCAATTTCCAATTCGGTTATCTTGGGCATGCACGGCTCATAAAGTACAAGGGATGACAACAAAGAAAGCTGTAGTGAATTTAGATAAAGTATTTGCCCCAGGCCAAGCATATGTTGCATTGTCACGGGTTACTTCAAAGGCCGGCTTATTTATTGATACAGAAGATCTATCTCGATTACAGAAAAATGTTTATGCTGATCCAGAGGTAAAGTCAGCATTAAATGAAATGCCGAAAGTTACTTTTGGTGCCACTTCACGAGCTTTACTTTCCAGTGGAAAGAAAGTAGTTCTGCTTAACATTCAGAGCTTGGGCAGTCATTTTGAAGACCTACAAAATGATGCAAGGTTCAAACAGGCTGATGTCATATGCTTAACAGAGACGTGGTTAAGATCTGGGGAAAACACTGAGAAATATGCTCTGCAAGGGTTCCAGTTTCAACATCTTCCTAGAAAGGAAGCATATGAAGAAAGTACTGTCTCAAATCAGAGTTTACGCATGTCAAAGGGTGGTGGTGTAGGACTGTATTTTAAAGATGGAAAGGATTTTGATATTGTTGAAATGCCCCAGATGAATATTGAAGGAATAGCAGTTAAAATTATCAAGGAGAATATTTTGTTGCTGTGTGTATATCGCCCATGCATGGAAAAAATGGCATCATTCTTACACAATCTTCAGAATGTTCTTGACTACTTGAAAACAAATGACCACGACAGTATCATCATGGGTGATTTCAATGAGGATGCAAAATCTAATGGTCCAGTTCAAAGGTTTATGAGAGATCAAAACTTCAGACAACTTGTATCCTTTAGCACCACTGAAGGGGGAACAACACTGGATCATGTATATGTATCCAATTTAAGACGGATTGAGGTTCATCGATTACCCACATATTACAGTTATCATGATGCTATACTTCTAAAATTCTTAGATTTGTAAAGCAGCACAGTGAATTAGAAGGCAGACAGTATGTAATAAACTAGTCTTTGTTCACCCACTTACGACAGAAATTATGTCAAACGATAACTGATTTACTGACTTTTTCATTTTGAAATTTTATTTCCTTTTCATTGGCAGGTATCAATTTTGTAGATTTTTTTAGCCATTAATTAGCTGTAATCATTGAAAAAAGGTTTTTAAGTATTAGATTATCTTACAAAGTCTTCAAACTCATAGACTTCTTGATTCACCTGTATAGTTTAATAATGTAAATTATACACTTGTATATAGTTGTGCAAATAAGAAACATTTTATATAATACATAGTTTTAGTGAGCCTTAAAAAAAGCACAATAGCAGTTGAAAATATATACATTTTTCAACATTTTCTTTCTAGTATGATTTGCCTAAAAAGAATTTTAAATCATCATTATACCAATTTTTTTCCATAAAAAAGAAAATGCCAGAACATGGTACTGTGTATATCAAGAATTAATAATACATATGCAAATGTACTGTGTTCAGAAGTTCTTGATGGAGAATATATCATTCACTTGAATCAATAATGTGAGATGTGTATAAACATAGTCCAAGAATCCTAGGTTAGTCAAAATCATAATTCTGTCAATATTGATAAGATGTTGGAATTTCTAAATAGCAGAATATTTATAACCTCGAAATTCGCTATCAATTTCTCAATCATTAAAGAACGTTAACCTGAATGAAATAGTATCATCTTATAAGCAATTCATTGTTTGACTACTCTCCTGAAAATGTTTGTAAAAATTCAGATGTAGAAAATTTTCCTAGTAATGAGTTTACAAATACATTAGAGAAAAATTGCAAGAAAATGTAAGCAGATGATAATTTTGACATTTCTGTTTGTTTCAGCATACATACTGTAACAGTCCAATCAGAGTTACTGAACCTGATCATGTTGACATTTGCTGTATAGTTGTAAAGTTGAGATGAAATTGTGATTGTGTATACATATTTTTACTTTTTAATGCGTGGATGTATGGATAAGTATTATTTGGGCTTTTCTTGTAGTTTAAAGATAACTTAATTCATATGGTTAAGTGATCTCCGGAAGTGGAAATAATCTGTGTACTTTTTCGATCTGTAATTGATCTCAGCTACAAACAGAAATTGTAGTAAAATTAGATTCCCTTAAATCCCAGTTACTCACTTTTAGTATTCAGTGTCATATAAACCATAGATTTTTAGTTTTTTCCCTGTAGATATACTTGATTTCAGTTGATTATCAACATTCTACTGACTACTATACTATCCCCTTGCAATGAATTCAGAATTGTTTACAATCTTGGTCATCGAAATTTCCGAATTTCGAGCCCGAGCGTAAAAGCTACTATGGGTTTTACCACGTGTTTTCCAACTTTTATGACTTCTTTTGTGAACAATAAAAGAAAAGAAGGACTTCAAAGAACTCTGCATGTTTTGCTAGAATTGTTTATGTGGAGATGATGCGTTATTCAAGGTAAGAGTTAGATGTTAGCATGGATTGCATAGAAATTGTGTATTCAGTAGACATAGAATGAATTTCGATTTTAATTTTCAAATAATCAAAATTATCAGTTACTTAGAAAAAAAAAAGAAATCAGAGGTATCCCTTAGACTTATTAAAAACTTTTATTTATGAGCTTTTCTTCAAGGTTTTGAATTTCCAAACTTTCAATGCTACAAACAAGTCCTTATAATTTTGAGATTTGCAGGTTAAGCCTTGACCTGTAATATATGTTACAACGCTTGAGAAAAGTTATGTACAATGAAGGCTGTTGGAAAAAAAAAATCTTTATGACAGTGGAGAATTAAGAACAAGATTAGCATATATAATTTCCAAGGCATTGTGATTACAAATGTTTAATTGATGTAAATACTAGTATACGTCGTTTCATGAAATCAGTCTTTAGTGCATGTTAGAAATAGAGCTAGAATAGTTTAGGAAATTTATATCCTGCTCAAAACCCTACTTCCACCTCCCCGCGGTGAGCAGGGGGCAACGGACTATGTCCGGCGAACGGAAGAGGTAAAAAATAAAGTTTTCATATGTGTTATGTTCTTTTTGATTTATCGATATTTACCCAGATTACAGAGGGTTTAATTTAAGTAGCTTTTAAGCGATTTAAGTGTTAAATAACTTTAGTCAGAAACTGTTCTGAATGCATATATTGCCTTTTTTTCTACAAACGAACATCTACTTACATGTACGAGAACAATTTTGTGCAAATCCCCACAAGACTAGTGGTTTAGTGCACAATGGCAACAAGTTCAGATCTTTATCTTAATTGGAAATCTCAGTGCTCTATCTTTATTTGTTATTGAGATCTGTACATAGCCGTTAATTTGGTCATCTGAAAATCGATAAAAGGGCGATAACTTTGAATAAACTTCAGATATCAACACATCTACCACGAAAATTTGACTAAAATCATACTAGTCATCTCCGAGAAATCATATACACAAAATTTATAAAGAAATAAAAGAATAATTTGATCATTAAAGTGTTAAATATTAAATACTTTCGACACGCCTTAGCCCCTGATATGAGGTGTCAGCCCCTTTTTAGCTCACCTGAGCTGAAAGCTTAATTGAGCTTTTCTGATCGCCCGTTGTCCGTCGTCCGTCCGTCCGTCTGTAAACTTTTCACATTTTTAACTTCTTCTCAAGAACCACTGGGTTAATATTAACCAAACTTGGTACAAAGCATCCTTGGGTGAAGGGGAGTTTAAATTGTTAAAATGAAGGGCCAACCCCCCTTCAAAGGGGAGATAATCAAGAAAAGACACAAATAAGGTGGGGTCATTAAAAAATCTTCTTCTCAAGAACCACTGGGCCAGAAAAGCTGAAACCTATGTGGAAGCATCCTTGGGTAGTGTAGATTCGAAATTGTTCAAATCATGACCCCCGGGGGTAGGGCGGGCAACAATAGGGAATCTAAGTTTTACATTGAAACATATAGGAAAAATCTTCTCAAGAACCACTGGGCCAGAAAAGCTGAAACTTATGTGGAAGCATCCTAGGGAAGTGTAGATTCTAAATTGTTCAAATCTTGACCGTTGGGGATAGGGCGGGGCCACAATAGGTATTACAAGGTAGGAAATCAGTTGAAGAACAGCAGGGCAAAAGTTATTCAGGTGAGCGTTGTGGCCCATGGGTCTCTTGTTTTCTTCATATCATCTTAAAGCTCTCATGATTTCTTTAACAACTATTCAGAAATCCTTTTTCGTTTCCAAGATATAATGAAAACAAACACCAAGGTGCTGGCCCTTCAAGTCCTAAATGGGGATGTTCAGCAAAAATCGAAAGGATACATATTGTTCAGAACATTATTCTTAACATCTTTTACTCAATATTGCTTGTCAAAATATTTCCCACTTTCAAGATAAAGAATGCCAAACATTTAGCATTCTGGCCCCTTATGGACCCTAATTATGTAACATGTGATGTGAATATCATAATATATTGTTGAAAATTGTTGAGATAAACATTTTTGCTTCAGTAATGAATTACAAAAATATAGATCGTTAACGAGTTATCGATTAAAGACTTTCGGCCCCTCTCTGCCCCTCTTTTAAGGAACCAGCCCCTTTTTCTTCATACCACGTTAAAGCTCTCTTGATTTTGAACACTTTTTGTTCAACAACTATTCAGAAATTCTTTTTCGTTTCCGAGATAATTGCCAAAGAAGAATTTAGGGGCCGGTCCTTCAACTCCTTAATAGGGACGTTTAGCAAAAATTGAAAGATTGCATATTGTTTGGAACATTATTCTAAACATCTTTTCTTCAGTATTGCTTATTAAAATATTTCCCACTTTGGAGATATAAAGCGTCAAAGATTTAACATCCTGGCCCCTTATGGTCCCTATTTATGTAACATATGACGTAAATATCATAATATATACTTGAAGATTATTGCGATAAACATTTTTGTTTCAGTAATGTTTGACAAAATATTGATCGTTACAGAGCTTTGGATTACAGTCTTTGGGCCCCTCTCGGCCCCTAATTTAAGTACCCAGCCCCTTTACCTTGATTCCACCTTAAAGCTCTTAGGTTTTTGAACACTTTTTGTTCAATAATTATTCAGAGATTCTTTTTCGTTTCGGAGATATTTACATAAGAAATATTAAGGGGCCAACCCTTCAACTCCTTAATGGGGACGTTTAACAAAAATTGAAAGGTTGCATATTGTTTGGAACATTATTCTGAACATCTTTTGTTCAATATTACAATATTACTTATCAAAATATCTCCCACTTTCGAGATATAAAGCATCAAAGATTGAGCATTCTGGCCCCTTGTGGCCCCTATTTATGTAACATTTGACTTAAAAATCATAATATATAGTTGCAGTTTCTTAAGATAAACATTTTTGCTTCAGTGATGTATAAGAAAATATTGACTGTTTAAGAGTTATTGATTAAAGATTTTTGGCCAATCTCGGCCCCTAATGTGATGAGTCAGCGCTTTTTTCTTGATATCATGTTAAAGATTTTGTCATTCTGCACAAATATTGTTCAATATGTTTTAACAAAATAATTATACTTTAAAAGATATGATACAAAATGTCTCAAAAATTCATCCATGATTCGTGTCCTAAATTTCGACCCCTACCGAGCTTCCATGCTAGGCACTTCCAGAAAATATCCAAACCCAGGTGCACAATGGCAACATGTCCTCTATAATCACTGAAAATTTCAGCACTCTAGCTTCAGCCGTTTTTGAGTTCCATCACAGACAAGGAGGTCCTCTGAATTTTAATAAAAGGGCGATAACTTTCGACCGGAAGTAAATTTCCCTTAACAGACTTGCAGGAATTAACTTCAGATGTCAACACATCTACCATGAAAATTTGAATGAAATTGAACGAGCCGTCTCCGAGAAATCGCCTGCACAAAATTTGTAAGAAGAAAAAAGAATAAAAATAATAATAACTAGATGAGATCTCGTTGCGAGCAACGAGTAGGTCTTCCGTCCGA